CTATAAAAGGGCATAGTCAACTATAGGCTAGAGCTTAGAATTTTGAGCAATGGACATTTCAGTGCATTTAATGAACTCCAATGTCTCCAAATGGATGGTTTTGACTTTGAGGGCATAAATATAGTTGGTAAACTCTTGGAGAGTCTGTAGACACATATTAGAAGATCTACCATTAGGAGTTAAGTTTAGATTTGCAAATCATTTCAAGAGTTTAAACTTACACTTGCAAATGAGATCTAAATTAGATCTTGAAGAGATCATATCCTTAAGAGATCATATCCTTTATAATCTTTCTTTTTGTCATTTCTTTGTGATCTTTGGAGTAAGCATAAGTGAAGCCTTTAAGAGAGAACCCAAGTAAGGTTTGTTGGGGATCCTTGTAAAGGGAAGTGTTTGAGTGAAAAACATTTTGTAAAAGGATTAAGTAGCTCTTTTAAACTACTCTTGATCAATGGTAGAGGGTGAGGAAAAAATCCTTGATGAGTGAAGCCAAGGCAAATGATTAGGTGCCAAGTGGTTGGACTAAACTTCTATAAAATCTAGTGTGCAAGCTCTTCTTCCCTTTGCCTTTTGTTTTTCAATTGGTGGTTACAAAACGAGGGAAAATTTACAGACTCCAATTCATTCCTAGTCCCCTCTTAGAGTGTTTGAGCCACAATTCCTCTTTTGTTAGACATGCATGCACATGAGCTCCATCAATAGCTAAAATGCAAAATATGTCAAGTTTTTTGGCATAATCATGAAAAGTAATTACTTAAAAAAATTCAAATAATTTATCACCTAAAAATGAGGCATATATCTTTCATTATTAACTATCTTTGGAGGAATAGTGCTAAAAATTGGATCCTTTAGTTTAATAAGGTTTTGTGAAAAAATATAAGACTACTTTCAACACTTTATTAAAATTTTGATTAATTATTTTATTTGAGTGTTAAAACCGTTCTTGAACTTGTTTATTTGAAGCCTATAAAGCAAGCCTATAAAGAAAAATACCAACCTTTTCCAACAGTATCATCTTCTTTAAAGCCTTTAATTCATACTTATTAACTCATTGCAAATATTGATTTATATGTTTTTATTTAATAGGTTATTATCCATTCTAAACATATTTATGCATCTTTCTTCAGTTTCTCTTATTATCTCTGTCGACTACATTTACAATAAATCTATACATGATTGTTTAGAAATGAAGTACAAATAGTAAAAACATATTATCCCAACAATTTTTACCAAGTATTTCAATAAATTATCCACTTTTTTAATCACTTCTTATAAAATGCGGCCTGCTTAAACATGAGACTCATGATTTAATATGACCAATTACAATGCATTCAACGTAAAACGACCGGAACTGCCCGCGCGCATAAACCACCCGTGCAATTTGTTTACAATTAAATAATTAAAAATTTTATTTGATTAAAATTTTTAAAATTTTTAAATAATGTAAAACTATTTGGGCTGTAGAATTTAAAATTGTTGGCCCATTTAGTTGGGCTTTAAAATATACTTTATTGGGCATTTTAAAAGTATTTTAATGGACAATTTTTAATTAATTGAGATCGACATTAATGTCATCGTCATGTGGCCCTAGATTTTGTATCTACTACTCCATTTTACTTGTAGATAACTTTTGCTTATCGGTTTAATTAATAATTAATTATTTTTATTTTACTGAAATTTATAATATTAAATGTATTTATTTATTTAATGATAAATATAAATTACAAAATAATTATAATTAAAGAATGTTTCTATGTAATCACCCGATTACTGTAGGTTTACCTGTTAATTTTTTTCAATCATGTCTCTCCATCTTGATTTTGCACCGCAGCTTCCTCTTGACGCAAGTGGAGTTTTTTCTTTCCTTCCTTCTCAAGTGCTATTAAAGACTCTTTTCTTAATCTGCACGACTGAAAGGAAACGAACATGCAATGAATCATAACAGCTCATGAAAAGATTTTCTTTATATGTCTGGAACACAAAAATGTAATGATATTCATTATTGTACATTTTTTTGGCCAAAATATAATTCTAATTGAAATTAAATATGGATAATGATTAGTATATCTGATCTGATTCAATATATTTACCAACACTCACTAATTCAATTATTAAATTTTGTAAGTAAATTTTTTTTTTTGTTTTGAATTCAAATTTGAAAATAATAATTTATTAATGAATATGTTGTGAAATATACAAAGTAGTTAATACCATACCGACTTATTCAACGATTTTGCTCTTAAAATAGTATGTATCAGATGTTGAAATTTTTCATGTACAATTTCAAATTTATCGATATAAATATATATTTTTATAAATTAAATTTCAAATATCAAATAATTGGAGGATAAAAATTATGTAAAATTTTAAAGTTGAGGAAATAAAGTTGGCATTTAGCCTTTGCTAATTTGTGTTTCGAAAAAATCCTCCTTCCCCCTGCTCTGCTAGTCGCCGGAGCTGAGCTGAGAAACTGTTCTCGGATTTTTTTTCTTTTTTGGTTTGTAAAAATTGTTTCTTTCCTTCCCTTGTTTTCTTTATTTATCTTTTTCCCTTTTTTTTTTTATTTGCTATAGTGTGTATTGGTTGAAATTTCGGTGTACCGGTTGGTGCACTAAAATTTCGGTTGATACATTAGATTTTGATCGAATTACCCAAATTTTGATTGAAACAGATTTTTATATTATATCATTTCGGTCAATGCAAAAAATAGATATGTACTGATTGTACCAATCGGTACAATACAAAATTAGTAACTTTGAAAATATGTTAAATTAAAAAGTATATCAATTATTATCCTTATTATATAAATGGATATAACATTAATTTTAATTTTAAATCAATAATTAATAAATTAAAAATTAATTTTTATTTTTTTAATATAAATTTATTACTAAAAAATATATTTATTAAAAAAAAAACCCATATTTTATATATGGAACACATCTATACATCTTGTCACCCCAACACATTTCCAAGTGGCCGAGAAAGTGGGTGCAAGCATGCATCTACTTATGCAGACAATTTATTTGCCGTTAGGCTGTTTCTCCTTTCTAGTTAATTAATTAACTAATGCATGGCAGCTGGAATTATAATTTCCGTGAGTTTCATGCCTCCATTGTACAGTATTACTTGTTACATGTAGTACGGAATTAAAATGTGTTGATTAACTTTAAAAGTCAAAACTACAATTTCGCAACATATGTGGAAACTTCCAAAAATATATAAAAAAAAAAACGTTACATATGCATATGACCTTTGTTATAACGACAGTCACGTGGCAGGACTTTTTTCCTGAGAAATTTTGCCATGTCGGCTGTCCAATAAAAATGATTTATTGACCACTAACAAATTTTCACAACA